TTTACCCCTATCTTACACTCCTCTAATTTTAGCCCTCCAAGACTACAGGTCCTTCTTCCAGCCTAGCCCTCGGGAGCCATCATTCCAGGAAGTAACTCCTAGGCAGAAGGGACTAGCTATCCTCACCCAAATGACATAAACACAGGGCAGGCAAGTCAGCCTAGCTAAAACAGGAAGGCACTCAGAGAGAGATGAGAGGTAGCATATGTCAGAAGCAGACTACCAGCAGCACCTTGACCTCCATGTCCCCTCAGATACTGATGAAGATGGCACAGGAACCTGAGTCCCAGAAGCAATGCTTCCAGCCCAGTGCTTCCCAACCATGATCCTGGGAAGCAACCTTTGTGGAAATATAGCCTAACAACAGTTGCTACAGCCACACAGAAAAGAAGACTCAAAAAAGTTCCTGCCACACAAGTTCTTGTGCTCAAACGGCTCATCAGAAATGGCTGTTTTATCAGTGGAAATGACATTAAAGAAGAGACATTAACATCTGCCATAGCACTTTTCCATCTGAATTGCACTTTAAACCATCCATTTGTAGTGTCTTCCCCCTCCTTGAGAATTCTGTTGCTCAGCCAGTTCAGTCATATCCCACTCTTTGGGACTCCATTTGACATTTTCTTGGTAAAGATACTGCAGTGGTTTACCATTTCCTTCTCCAGCTCATCTTACAGATAAGGAACTGAGGCAAATATGTTAAAGTGACTTGCCCAGGGTCACATAGCTAAGTTTCTAAGGCTAGATTTCACTCAGGTCTTCCTGACTCCAGGCCAGCACTCTATTCACTGTGCCACATAGCCACCCTTCCTTGAGAACAGGAACTGTCTTTTCTATTTATATCTCCAGCACTTAGCACAATGCTTTGCACATACTTTATTCATTCATTTATTTAAAGAGTCACAAATTGCCAGCAGCCTCACCTCTGAAAACCTGTGGCCAAATGACTCATCCCCCACACTCCTCCAAATTCCTGTGAATTTAATACGAGTTTACCCCCAGCATAATGTAGTGAGGGGAAAAGGTCTTAGAGTAAGATCTGAATTGAATCTGGCCTCTACCTCTTACTAGGGTGGAACCTAACAAAAATCAATTAACCTTTCTAAGCCTCAGTAAAATACCTGTAAAATAAGGATATTACCCTTTACTACATCACTGGATAGTTATAATAAAATGTATAAATGTATAGTATTATTGTTATAATCAAAGTGGTGGAGGCAGGGGTAAGTTATTTTTATATATTTTGTTTGGTATGGTGTAATGTTTGGAGAAAGCAAGGTTAATTTTAACACGAAAAATGTGAATGAAATCCTAACCCCTAAGGTTATATAAGAGTAACTAGTACTAACACTAACAATTACTCCTCACCTTACAGGCATACTTCGTTTTATTGTGCTCTGCTTCATTGTGCTGCACAGATGTCGAGGTTTTTGGCTTTTTTTTACAAAAGGAAGGTTTGTGGCAACCCTGCTTCAAGCAAGTCCATTGGCACCATTTTTCCAACAGCATGTGTTCACACAGTCTCTGTGAAATTTTGGTAATTCTCACAATGTTTCTAACTTTTTCGTTATTATGATAGCTGTTATGGTGATCTGTGATCCATGACCTTTGATGTTACTATTGTAATTATTTTGGGGCACCAAAAAGCACTCTCATATGAGATAGCAAACTTAATCAAAAATGTGGTGTTCTAACTTCTCCACCAACCGGCTGTTCCCCATCTTTCTCCCTCTCCTTGGTCCTCCCTATTCTTTGAGACAAAACAATATTGAAATTAGACCAATTAGTAACCCTACAATGGTCTCAAGTGTTCCAAGTAAAAGGAAGAGTCAACTGATGCAGCAAACTTTTGTATTATTTTAAGAAACTGCTACAGCCACTCCCATCTTCAGCAACCACCACCAGGATCAATTAACAGTCATCAGCATGACCCTCCACCAGCAGAAAGACTACAACTCACTGAAGATTTAGACAATTGTTAGAACTTTTTAGCAATAAAGTATTTTTAATTTGACACAATACCATTGTACACTTAATAGAATACAGTATAAACATAACTTTCACATGTACTAGGAAATCAAAATTTCATGTGAATTGCTTTACTGAGATATTCACTCAATTTAGTGGTCTGGAACCAAACCTGCAATATTTCCAAGGTAAGCCTGTACATTCTCTTTTAATGTTCACAAAGAACTCTCATGAGGGATGTACTTTAGACCTATGTTAAGATGATAATGTACTTGCAACACAGTCTTTGATAGCAATCTTAATCCCGGGTGGTGGTGGCAGTGAAGAAAGTAGAATATCTAGGAAGTCTGATCAGATAAGATGGAAAAAAGCCTGGACTATTCCAATAGCCTTCTACTTAGTCTCATTGCCTCAAATTTCTCTGACCTTCTACTCAGCTGCCAAAATGATCTTAAAATGCAGGTCTTAACCATGTCAGGCATTAGCTCCACCTCTGCCTCCTGGCTTTCTTCAAGTCTCAACCAAAATCACACCTTCTACAAGAAGACTCTCCTTAGCTCCCTTTATGCTAGTGCCTTCCACTGAGATTGTCTCCAATTTGTCTGGTACTTGTATATATTCACATGTATGAACATACATACATACATACACACACACACACACACACACATATGTTCATGTTTGTTTGCCTGTTTCTCCATTATTAGAATGTGAGCTCTTTGAGGTCAGGGGCTGTTTGCTTTTCTTTTTATCCCCAGGGCTCAGCAGAGTGCTGAACTAGTAGTAAACACTTAATAAATGCAGGGTGACTTGTTTGTTGACTTAGAAGTTTCCCCTAGGGATCTAGTATATGTCTAGACTGATAATCAACAAGCTTTTACTAAACTCCTACTGTGGGTCATGTAGTATTCAAAGTAAGACATAATTTTTAAAAGAAAATTATATTGAAGATTTTTACAATAGGATTAAAGCTACAGATAAAGTGAAAATGGCCTCTGTTCTCAAAAAGCATAGTCTAACAGAAATATATGTATGTACTTATTAACTAAAACAAAATGCATACAAAAAAATAGAAGAATTTGGGGGGGCACTAGTGGGGGGTGGGGGAGAAAAGAGGAACAGGAACCAATGGGCAGAGCTAGCCTCACTAGAATCACAGAATCATAATTTTAGGAAAGGGACCTGAGAAGCCATCTATTCAAACCCCTTCATTTTACCAGAGAGGAAACTGAGGTGAGGGAAGTTAAGTGACTTCTCCCAGATCATACAGGTAACAAGTATAAAATGCAGAATCTGAATCTATGTTTTCCAATATCAAAGTCATGCGCTTTCCATTGTAATACAAATCAGCTAAAAAGCAACAATTCAATTGTTTTTAAACACATCTGTCAACTTACTTATCTTGCTACAAAGTCCTTTTAACTTTACCTACAAAATTCCTTCTACTACTCTCATGTCACATATATAACCTATTTTCTTCTCAGGCTCTTATCCTCCCCAATCCTCAAATCATTGTCCCCAATCTCCCACAACTTTCCCCTGTGCCTCTCCTTTGCCTATGTCTTAGCACAGCTTAGTTATAGAAGGGGAGTTCAAGACCAACAAGCTAAATGATCTTTGTCCTATAAAGAATGTCCAAGGCAAGGACTAACCAAGAAGCATCAACAAATTTTCTTCATACACAGTAACAAAGATCTCAACTCCACTAAGAAGGTAACAGTAATCAATTGAAAATAACTGGCCAGGACACAACTTCTAAATTAGATGATTTGAGATCCTGATATCAAATTAAAATATTTATGCAATTACTTTCCAAATTCAAAGGTTGTCTGTTGTGTAATAAAGACAAATATACTGATAGCTTTAAAACACAAGTACACTTACATAGAATCCTATCCACTGAAGTAAAAACAGATTAAATCATATAAGCCTCCAACTCCAGCTCTAGCCAAATTTAAATTTTTTAGAGATGATCATAACTCTACATAGCAATATAAGGTAAAGTTTGCTTGGAGCTTCTGTCTAGAATAACAGCTAAAGCTTAAGCACTGAGACACCATTCAAGTAAAAAGTTTGGCAAGACATATTTTTAAAATTCAAGTTCTTCTCACCAAGTACTTTTCATTCATTAACATTTTTAGTCTGAGCATATGCACCATCTTTAAATGCACAACATAAGCAGTCTGGAGTTGAGGATACATAGAATGGGTAAAGTTGGTCTAATACAAAAAGCAGTTAAATAAAATGTTGGGTCTAGAAAGAACCTTCAAAATCACCTACTCTACCCAACTCATTTTATATAGGTTAAATGACAGAACAGGAAAAAGAGTGGCAAGGCTAACACTAAAACTGAAGTCTCCTAAAGCCTACCTCAAATTATCTTTAACATAAGATTCATGGGGAAGGTTGATAACAATATTTGTTGCTCAGTCTTAAAGTCACTGTCAAGAATCTTTTATTTTCTCAGTGTGGGACCTCTTCACTAAGGGAGAACAGAACCTAATCTTTCTACAACTCAGCAGTAGATAGAGTAAGAGATTAAGTGACTTGACCAAAGTCACACAGCTGGTAGATGGCAGAGACAGGATTTGAACCCAAGTCTTCCTGTCTTTGAAATCCAACATTCTATCCACTACACTAATCTGCCTTTCATAATTAAGTAGTGTTTCATATTCAAATTTAAAATTTAAATTTGAATGACTGTAACTCAAAAGTTTCAGGTTTAATTCTAATAGTTTTCACAAAGTAGGTGGTGTAAATAAGAAGACAACTTGAAATTTATGTTTAAAAGCAAAAAAAGGGGGAGAAAAAGCACACAAACAAGAATCATTAAAATATTTATAGCTCCCTAAGTATAACAATCTCAATCTGACTACCTTCTACCACCTTACAGCTGAGAAGCATATATACGAACAATCAAGGTAAAATACACTTAAACCAGTTAAAAACTAATTTTCTTTTTAACAAACAGGATTCCAGAGAGATTAAGAAACTTATGCTGTCTACCTTTTTAATATTTTCATACTACTGACCTCATGTGTAACAGGTATATTTCTTGACTTCTCAGTGGGCAGTGGAAGGCTTGGGTGGAGATATAGAGGGAATTTGGAACTGAAAATAAAAATAAATTTTTAAAAATTCAATAAATTTTTTGCTATACAATGTAATATGGCTGCCAAAGTTTTATCTTTAAGAACTAAAGCAAAGCATAAAAGATCTCCAATGAGTTCTTTTAAGAGTTTTTCCTGTATTTGAGAGCTGCCTTTATTATTAGGAACCATTTCTAAATATGGTACTTCTCAAAAGTACTAAATCTAATTATGACTTCACTGTAAACCCTACCCATAATTATTTACAAAACCACTTGTTATTCACTTCGAATGTAGCAATCCAGAGAAGGCCTGTTTCCATATTCTTATATGTTTATAGGATATAACAAATGACAGTTAAAGATTGTCACTTGAGACTTCATAAAATAATTTTACTTTATGAAATTGAAACATTTCAAATTTTGTGTCCCACCAGGCCAAGGAACAATCTTAAAATTATTTCACTTTACTTTTTAACTTTCCTCTTAGCCACATATTTGGAAAGGTATTACAAAGTTTTTCAAAGAAAGGATCAATATCTTCTGGTCCACTGAAAATCACAGGCAAACCATATACAACTGTAGCTCATACAGCTCATTCAAGTGTAGCAACAAGAAAGCACCTTAGAAATTAATTTGCCCTTAAACGTACGTCTGCCGCCATCAATTAGCAAGAGCAGCCAAATGCTTCGTCCCCTCAGCATCTCGCAGGCTTAAATTTAATTCAGCGATAAAAGGCAACCTGATCTAGTCACGGGAAATAATTGGAAAGATGCTGAGATTTATTTCTAAATCTTCTTCACCCAAAGCAGTAAATACCACCTTTATTTTCGTTCTCTTCCCCACCCCCAATGCTCCGTCTTTCCATTTACTGGCTCAGACCCGGAGGTTGCTACTGTCCCGCAGAAAGGAATCAAAACATCTGGCAGCGGCTCCCAGGGAGTTTCCTCTCCACCTTTCAGGAAACTAACCGGGGACTTGGAGCCCGGGGTCGCCCCCAGCCCCAGCACCTGCACCCATGCAGCTCACATCCACCAAGCACTGCGGACACCCCTCCACACCCGCACCCAGGCTCCTCGAGAAGTCGCCCGAGAGCCGCAAATCGTGACGTGTCTCTCGCAAACACTCCGACAAAAGCCACCAATATCGCGACATGTTTCCCCCCCGCACCCCGCATTCCACCTCCCCACTCCGTGGCGGGCATCGGGGGAATGCGAAGCGTCCCCTGACACCCCCAGCCCCCGCGGGCCCCCGCAGGGTCCCCGAGGCTGGCGGGGACGCAGGCACCGAGCCGCGGAGCCCGAGCAGCGCCGGCGAGCAGCACGGCAGGTTGCGCCACACCGAGCCGCAGCGCCCCGGCCCGGGAGGGAGCCAGTTGGCGCCCCGGCCCGGGGCCTCGGCCACGATCCCGGGCCCCCACACCGCACACGACACCCCATTGCACAACAACACCCCACAACCCCGACACACACACACACGCATACACACACACACAACACACACAAGACGCCGCCGCCGGGGTGAGACCGCGCCGCCGCGGCCGCATCCGGGTTCTCCCCCACCTCCCCCGCAACGGGACCCGCCTGGGGCACTCACCTGCCCCGCGCGCTCAGTAGCAGCAGCCGCCTCGGCCCCCGAGCTCTCGCGCCCCCATCCCGTCCCGGGCCAGAGCAGCCCCCAGCGCCAGCAGCAGCCGCTCGCTACGCCAGCCGCCCGGCAACTGCCATTTCCAGCGCCGCCGCCGCGGCACCCACAGACGCGCGCGCGCGGCCGCGCCGGCCGCCGTGCACGTGCCCGCGCTCACTTCCCCTTAGCCCCGCCCGCCCGCGGCCTGGCTGCCTCCCCCACACACTCCTTCCCTCCTCTCCTCTCCTAAGTAGGAGGGCGGGAGGAGGAGCGGGGGCGGGGGGCGGTGTGCCGGGCTAATAGTAGCCGAGCCGAGGGTGCGAAGAAAATGCATAAATGACTTTCTTTGATGTGTGTGTGTCTGTGTGTCTGTGTGTGTTCAGTGTGGACTAGATGCAAAGCATCCACTCCCAACCTCCTCCCCCCAATTTCTCTCCCTCCCACCCCCTTTCTCTCCCTCCCACCTCCTGTCTCCTCTGCACCCCACTCCTTTTCCTGCTTCCCCTCCGGGGTTCTCCCTCTGCTCCTCTGTTTCCCCTGCCAGTTACTGGGAGAGACTTGTACATTCTTTGCTGGGGGTCCGCTCTCACCAAATGTGCACCCACCAGGCAAACTGGCCCTCTTTGCCTTCAAATGGAGACTGAGAAAAAAGCCTTTATCAAAACGATGTTGCTTTATTTTCTGTTCATTTGGCTTTAAATTTTAGTTTCTAAATCAAGTAACAGTTTGGTCATATTTGTTACCTTAATGATTATTTTATTCATGCAGTTGCTTCTGTTCACCAGGAACCAGTTGCTCAGAGTTGCTCCTTTAAATGACAACTAAAATTTCAAATAGCCAAAGCTACAGAGGAGGTACAGGAATTTAGTTGAGCAACTTCAGTTTGTTTCCCCTTGAAAACCTTAGAGTCTAGGTTCTATTTTTATTGTATTTTGAAGGAGTTTCCCGTTTTACCCCTTTCCAGATAGCCAAACCCTCCTGAACCCTGATGATCTTAAAATCATTTAGTAGCATCCCTTTGCTTTGCTGTTGAGAGAACTGAGGCCCAGAGAGATTAAGTAATTTGCCCAAAATGAAACAATTTATCTTCCTTAGAGTACGGAGAGGGGTGGACCCATACTGCTTGTTCCAACATGGACTAGGGTCCAGGGCATAAACCACAAGCATCCTGTCTCTGCCCACAATCATTAGTATGTTTCCTGTCCTGTCTCCCTCCTCATCTCCTTTCAGAGAATAAGCGCATATATTTAGGGACATAATGCATAGGGAAGAGAATATTTTTGTTGGGTTTTTGTTGTTGTTTTTTAGGGTTTGTGTTTTTTTGGTTTGCTTGTTTTAGCACTTTGGGTAGGGAGAGAATTGTATTGGATATTTTTTTAAAAATACAGAACAGACTAAATAATAGAGAGGTGAATGAAACTTGAGGGAACAGAGCTAGAAGAATCCCAAGAGATCCTGGCCAAGAAGGCAAGGAATGGTAGATTTTCAGTACAGGAAACAGCAAAATTTCCTACTTCTGCCCAACCACCAGTGACCAAAGGCATAGGTAAAAATCCTAGGCTTCCAAACCAAACCTAACAACAGTTTCTCTTCCTTCCCACTCCCTCAATGCCAACTTCCAGTTCAGCACATGAAATGCCCCTCAATGACGATCCTGAGAAGCTCCCTCCTTCCTTTCATTCAATTAGTGCTGCTTGGGTAGCAGCCAGGCTTATGCAAGCCAAGATCCATCCCTAGAAGGAGAGACTGAAACTCTCAGTGAATGTTGAGGGGCTCCTCTCATGACTTAAGAGGCTAATGGAGAAGTGGGGCAGCAAGGACTGCAGAAAAAATACAAAAGCTAGGAAGGGAGGCCCTGCCTTTTACCTCCTGTATTCCTGTCTTGGGGAGCAACTGCAAGTAGCCAGACTGAAGTTGGGAGGCTAAGAAGACTTAAGAACAAAGCTCCTTAAATCAAGAGGATGTCCACCATTAAGACAAACTTTTCCTAGGGCCTCATTCTCTTGTTTCATTTCCTTTTTGCCATACACATAAGGAACCAATCTCTGTATTGTGTTCACATTTTTAGTCCCTAGCGTTTTAATAAAGTGTCCAGATTTCCTGTACCTTTAAGCCCACCCACTCCTTTTCCCTTAGTGACCTTATAACCTTGCTCCATCTATCATCCCTTCTCACACGTATTATCTCCCTCTATACTGATTCCTTTCTTTTATCACATTCAAATCTCCCCATCTTAGAGAAAACAACCTTTTCTTCACCCTGTCCTCCAAGCTCTCATCCTCTTTTACTCCTCTCTTTCTGTGACAAACTAAGAGAAAAAGTAGCCTAGATGCCCCACCTCCTCCACATCATCTATTCAGTCTTCAATTCCTTGCAATTATAAGTTTCCACCGTTGCTGAAATATCTCTTCAAGATCTCAAAATACTCAAATCTTAAATGGATCTGTGATCCCATCGATATGATTATTTACTCAGTGGTACAAATTGTGACTCATCGTTGCCTGTCCATGTGGTGTCTCTTGTCCATGTCCTCCTATAAATTCTCCACAGGTAGTCTGCCCAAAAGGCTATAGGCTTTCCTCACTTTATTCTGACATCTCAAGGGTAGCAATGGAGCATTAAGGTGTCTCCCCGTGATTCCTTTGCTCATACCACATGATCAGCCCATCTTTTCTTTCTTCTTTTTTTAATTTTTGAAATTTATTTTAAATTTAAATACAAAATGATAAAAGAAAAAATTGCCATGTACACAGGAGAACATAAGAGAGGATTCAATATAGAATAATAAATTTCCATTTCAAGAAAACCTACATAATACATTGTTTTCAAAGCTGCCCAGCTTTTCTTTGCTTCCTTGTAGGTTTTCTTTTGTTCTCTGCTGTGCTCTTTTTACTTTATTTTCCTCTCCCCCACCCTAAAAAAGGCTAAATTAAGTATGGAGATATAGATATATATACATAAATATAGATATAGATATATATAGATTTGTATAAATATACAGATATATACACATATTTACTCATACATGTATATGTAAGACCATACTATGCCTATTTCCACTTGTCATCTGTTTCTCTGAAAGTGGATAGCATCTTACTGAATAAATACAAGTCTTTCCATGTTTTTCTATATTAACCAGCTCATAATTTCATACACCACAGCTATATTCTAACCAAATCCCATCCCATCTGAGAGATTGTCTATGAAAGTTTTTTCCCAGTTTTCTGCATTCCTTCTTTTCTTGGCTACATAGGTTTTACTTATACAAGAAGTTTTTAAATAATCAAAATTATCCATTTTACATTTCAACAATGCTCTCATCTTATAATATAGTTTAAGGTCTGATACTGGTGAATCTATTTCCTTTACATCTTTTTTCCCTGGTTTCTTTGAAGTTCCTGAACTTTTGTTCTTCCAAATGAATTTTGTTATTTTTTTCTAACTGATTTTTTAGTAATTTAATTGGGATGACATTGAATAGATAGATTAGGTAGGTAAAATTATCACTTTAAAAATTATATCACCTTTACTTACCCATGAGCAATATTACTTCAATTATTTAATCTGACTTTATTTGTATAAAAAGTGTTTTATGTCAGTCCTGAGGTTCTACTTCATACCTGTTGGATTGGATGATGGGACAGAGGAGGAGGATCACCAATATTGGAAGGGATGTGGGAAAAATGAGACACTGATACACTGTTGGTGGAATTGTGAACTGATTCAGCCATTCTGTAGAGCAATTTGGAACAGTGCCCAAAGGGCTATAAAACCTTGCATACCCTTTAACCTAGTGGTAGTACTATTAGGTCTGTATCCCGAAAGAGATTTTAAAAAGGAGGGGAGGGAAAGGATCTATATATACAAAAACATTTATAGCAGCTCTTTTCTGGTGTCAAAGAATTGGAAATTGACAGCATGCCCATCAATTGGGAAATGGCTGAACAGGTTGTGATATGTGATTACGATGGGATATTGTTGTGCTGTTAGAAATGATGAGCAGGATGTTTTCAGAAAAACCTGAAAAGACTTACATAAGCTGATGCAAAGTGAAATGTATTGTGTACAAAGTAACAGCAATGTTGTACAATGATCAGCTATGAATGACTTGGCTCTTCTCAGCAATGCAGTGATACAGGATAGCTTTGAGGGACTTATGATGCCATCTATCCGTCCCTGGGGAGAGAACTGATGGTGTCTGAATACAGATTGAAACATCCTTTTTTTACTTTCTTTATTTTTCTTGAGTTTTTTTTTTTTGGTCTGTGTTTTCTTTCACAACATGACTATTATGGAAATGTTTTGCATGACTACACATGTACAACCTGTATGGAATTACTTGCCTTCTCAATGAGAGGGGGTGAGGAGGGAGGAAGGGAGAGAATTTGGAACTCAATGTTTTAAAAAACAAATGTTAAAAATTATTTTTACATGCAATTAGGGGAAAATAAAATACTAAATAATTTTTAAAGTGTTTTATGTTTATGTTCATATAGTTCCTTTGTCTGTTTTGGGCTCAGGTATTTTGTACTGTCTAGTTATTTTAAGTGCTTTAAAACTATCAAATAATGTTGCTGACACATAGTGTAGTTTCTCTATTATTCTCTTTTGATTAAATCTATTTTACTTTAACTTTGTCTGAGATCATGATTACTACCTCTTTTTTTTTACTTACTAAATTCTTCTCCTGCCCTTGATTTTGTCTTTGTGTGCATCTTTCATTTTTATAGTGTTTCCTGAAAGCAATATATTGTTGAATTAAAATTTTAATTGACTATCCATTTCCATTTTATGGGTAAATTCATCCCATTCACATTCTAAGCAACAATTACTTGTGTATTTTCCTCCTTCCTATTTTTCTTTACTATCATTCTCATCCTATTTGTCCTATCCTTCCCCACTCTTCTGCTTTATTTCTACTCCCTTGCCCTCCTATTCCTTAACCTACACACCCTTCCAAGAGTCCCTCCCTTATCCTCTCCACCTACTCTACCCCTTGACCTTTTATTTCATTCTGAATTTGGAAGACTTTTATACCTTTCTAGATATCTATATCTATATCTAGATATAGATATAGATATAGATATGTTTTTCCCTCTTTAACCCATTCCTGATGAGAGTAAGATTCCAGCAATACCCACCCTCCCT